TTCCGCTCTTTATTTGTGCCTGATAGGTTGATTTCTTCTCAGGTATTCGTGCTTGTCTGTTTTCATGGTCAGCGTGCACAGGGTCCGGGATTAAGTCAGGAATGAACACAGGGCACTCTTTGGCAGGGCTCTGGTTCGGTCGCGAACTGGACGGCTTCAGACCACACGATGTCAATGATGGTTTTTACATCTGTCCTATTTTAGCTATTTGTAAAACTTACAGCATTAAATTTGAGGATTAGAAAAGCAAATAGTCCCGGTCGCAGAGAAGGCTCGTCTCTGTGCAGCCCATAACTCTTCGCAGTGAATGAGCCCTCTTTGAGCTCACTTTCCACCCGAGGGAGAGCTGACCTCTCGCGCCGCGCCGCCGCCGCCGCCGCCGCCACCGCCGCCGTGGGTGTGGCCCCTCCGAAGTGCTCCGGAGACTCGCTAGAAAGGGAGCTTTCTGAGTCTTCCGCATAAACACAATCCATGCAGACACCTATTTTTCTTTCGAAAAGAGCTATTTAGCTCCATCCACAAAATAATTCTCCTGATAGAAACGTAAGCCCTCAGCCTGGCTGAAGTGCAGCCTTAGCCTCCTTTTCAGGAGACTGATTTCTGTCATCTCCCACTGGAGGAAGAACACGGCTCTCACTCACCCTTCCTGGGGTCTCCCTGTCGTCTTGCAGCACACGAGTGTCTCAGCATCTGTGAAGCACTGTGGTCCCAGGACGTTTTGCTTCCTGGAGGCTTCTCACCCAACAGAACTCCAGTACATGCCCCGTTGTGATGGAGGCTTAGGATCTTATGAAGAACCCAAAGATCACAGCGGTTTACGCCAGAGAGGTGTGTTTCTCTCACACAAAAATAAGAGCTGGCAGGACTGATCAGCCTCAGAGTTGTCAGGACCAGGTTCCTCCTGCCAGCCTTCAAGTTTTCCCCTGGTTTTCATGGCCCAAGGTCATTCCAGAGTGACGTTCCAGTCACTGGTGGGACAGGGAGGGAAAAAGGAAGGTATGCCTTCCCTTTTGCTGCACAAGGCTTAAACGACATATGACACTGTCGAGCAAACCCTTTCGGCCAGTTACCTACCATGTAGTACACTGTTCCCACCACTTAATTAAAACAGAAGCACTTCAAGGCTCACCATCTCCAAGGGTCAGGAACATGGGTTTGGCTGTGCTGGGACCGTGGGCTCAGGTCTCTTCTGAAGCTGCAGTCCAGCTGTCAGCCCCGATGGCAGCTCATCTGCAGCTGTGCAGGGAGAGGGCCAGCGTCCGAGCTCACTCCTTGTGGCTGTGAGTGGCTAGGGAGTGCGGGGCTGAGGGTCTCAGGTCCTCGCATGCTGCTGGACAGCAGTCACCCTCTACCCCTTGTTCCCTGGACATCTCCAGGGAGCAGCTCACAGAATGGCAGCACCCTCCCCTCAGAACAGGCATGCAGACATGATGGGAGGCACAGTCTGGGGACAGATATTTTCTTTCCATTCAGAACTAAGGCAGGACACAGTGGAGACAGATCCAGTTTCCTTGGATTAGCTTGATTTTGTTCAGATAAAACAGGAAAGAAGAAAGAAAGAAAGAAAGAAAGAAAGAAAGAAAGAAAGAAAGAAAGAAAGAAAGA